TACATGAAATCTCAAAATTCTTACACAATAAGAAAATAGAACTCTAAGAAGACCCACCACAGAAGTCCCCTGAGCCCTGTTTGCAATGCAATACCAGCCCAATGGCAGGACAAACTAAATTAGAGCATGTGCTTATGATGAGTCAGCCGTTCTGGTGCCCTGAGGAGAACCTGGTCCGTGTATCCTAGATGTAGTGAACTGGGCAGACGTTAAAGCTCACACATAAACCAGACCCAGCCAACTGAACTGAAGAGTGCTTTACAAATTCAGACTGAGACTAATCTGTGTATCCAAGAACCACAAGATCAACATGGGTAAAAAAGCATCAACGACTGAAAAGTTCAGAAATCCAAGAACTCTAGGCTGTTCACACAGTGTCACTACAGATATCATTATTGCATAAATTTACTTAGAATCTGATGCCACAATTAATCAGAAGATGGAGTCACTCTTATCTATTTCTAGCTCTGGAAAATGTTAACTTGAAGAACAAATTATTCAAGATGTCTATATACAGAAAAAGAAAATTCACTTTAAAATATTTACTAAAGTTTCCATGACTTACAAGGTTACTCATATATGCAGTGAGATGCATATGTCAACTTAAAAAAATCCCATCATGTCAACTATCCAACTATCTCATTCAACTCCCAATAGACTCTTCCCTCCCTTCCCACCCCACCCCCACCCCATTCTACTTTGTTCAGATCATCCAGTTCATCAAGTATTTGCATATATGGCCAGTTCCATAACTCGCGTTCCTCCTATGAGAATTTATTCTGGGTGAAAAGAGAAGGAAAGTTGCCTGGCCATAATTAAAGGTTATCTGTAGACATCTCTAACACAGTGTCTGCCATCAAACAAGTTTAACAATCCTGTTAAATTCACCAGTACCTAGAGATTAGTGATAGATTAGTCATTGACCCTGGCTGGGAATTGGAATTTGTGGGGTGTTCTTCATAATACTTATGCCTAAGGTAAAAACCATACTCACTTGGTCAAACTCTTGGCAAAAGGGATTCAGGCACTTGTACTGTTTGAAATGCTACATGTAAAAATCAGAGCTGATACTCAAGCCAGGGTTGACAGCCCTGCAGGTTATGGATCAATTATCCATTCACCTGGTGACATGTAATTTTGATGATAAATTTAACTAATTACTTAGTGATCCACACCTTGACTGCTTAAGGAGACAATCACCTTTACTAGCTACTTCACTAAATTGGATTTAGTGTCCAAGACACTGATATAGTACCAGGATCCAAAGATAAGAAACCCATAATTCTAGCCCCTACATCAAGTCACCTTCGAAGTTGAATTCATCCAATAGAAATGAGTAATTCAGAGTATCAGAGTTCAGAGAGTAATTAAAGCCTTCCCCAAAGTTCCTCCTGTTTCTTCAGCAACTCACCTATTTCTGGCCTTATGGTATGTTGACTCAGCTGGTGCGAACATACCACAAATTCCAGCTTTCTTTGCTTATTCTCAGTAGGTGGTGTCCCTTCCTAATGCTGGGACAAAACCTGGAAGGACCTCCTTGGGATTCACTCACCCTCTAGCCCTTAGAAATAGCTTCCATCCTCGGTCTTGACACTTTTCTCCAATCTAGATTATTCGGGCCACCAGAAGAAACAGATACCTTATATTCATGTTTCCAACGAGGGTCTGCTTCATTGCATCTCCCTCCACCTGGATGCCTGAAGTATCTTGCCCAGTTTTGGGCTTGTTTGTCATTAGGCTGAGGACCATCTTTCATAGATGTTCTGCAACTGCAGCAACATTTGCTTCACAAAGAGAACTTGCACTTGTCCCGGAAAAGATACAATGAAGAGGAATGTGACTACTATGTTGCATCTCGGAGTGTAGCTCAATGCTAGAACACTCTGTTAGCATGCTTGGAAACCTTCTGCTGTATAAGATAACAAAATGATGCTATCTTGATGTATGGTTATAGCCGACAACAAAGAAAGCCTTTGAAAACAAGCTGAAAAAGATGGGTACATGGCAACATAGGAGGCTATGTGGTTAATGGCTGAGAGTAAGGACCAAAAAACACAGCCCCTGGGTTCAAGCACAATTCCGCAATTAACTAGTAATCTCTATGTCACGTGTATCAATTGGTAAACTAGGGAACTCTAAGCCCTTGATGTTGTGGGATAAAAGTCACATAACACATGGGAAGCTTCTAGCATAGTATCTGTAGGGAGTAAGTACAGTACATGTTACCTGGCATTATTATTGAACACAGAGTTTAAGCTTTGCTATCCAGAAAAAAAAAATAAGACTTTTGAATCTCTCTGCCTGGCTTACAGAAAGTGAATTCATTACAAATTGTACAAATTGAATTTTGACATTTCTGGTCTTCCTCCATTATTTTTTTAAATTCAAAGAATAAAAGCATAGGATTTTCAGAGTATTTCATGACATTTCAAGTTACATTAGGAGCACTAATTATTAGTTAAGTCTTAGGCTTATAATATGCCTTTAAATGAAAGTAGAGGAGAATAATATTTAGGGAAGGGGAAAACATCATTTTCCACATAAATTGAAATTTTAAAACTCAAAAAATGAGAGAGAGATTTCATAAGCTTTGGGTGACCTTTAAATGTCACATTCACTAATATATAAATGCAAACACAGAAAAATGTAATGTCTGGCAATAACAGTAACTTGATCAATGCAATTACATTGAGTTCTGTGATATAAATTATGCTTTCAGTTCAGAGTAGCAATAGCTTTTTATACCTTTTAAGACCTAACTACAATCCATTAAAGATCAGTGGTTATTTTTTAATGATTATTTACATGCTTGTAGCTTACCTCTGGACAATCTATGTCTAAATTTACAGTAAACTTCTAAATGTACAATATTTGAGGACATACATTATTGCTAATGAGTTAAAAGGTTAATTTATCACCTCAGTAAACAATTCTTCCATTAAATCAACTTTAATAATTTGTGTAGATTGCATTGTTATGGCTAACCTTAGTCAATTTTCAAAAGCCAGTGAAATATGATTTCAAAGATAATCATTTACTTGGTCAAATCTCAATTTTAACTGAATTACATAATATAAACAGTGCACCAGTGTAACAATAGCACAAAATGAAACCCTCAATGGGTTAGAGTTATACATTGCTTTATATGCACATTAAATCTTCCCAGTGCTTCAATTCTACTGTAAAGGGTACAGTTTTAGTAACTATCTAATTGTTTAAGGCTTTTAATTCTACTATCTTCCAGTTCCTGTGTTTTAAGTATGTACAGGTGTGGGGGTTGGGAATGTGCAAACACACATGTGAGTGTAGATGCTTTTGGGTTGGCTCCTTTTAGAGTTGGATTTACAGGTGTTCATAAGCCATGGGATATAGGTTCTGGGAATTGAACTCTGATCCCCTACATGAACAGTGCATACTCCCAACTGCTGAGCCATCTCTCTAGCTGATGACCTCCAAATCTTTACTGTTCAAAATAATATACACATGTATCCATCAAAAGTCTGTCATCTGGACACTAATTCTTAGGGGAAGCATAGAAATGACAGGTATTCCTTAAATCTCTAAATTCTTGGGGGAGGAAAGATGCCTCAAAGGGTGAAGTTCTATGTTGATCCTCATCTACACAGTAGGAGGGAACCAAGCTGGGCCAGTCCTTCTCTGACCTCCATAAATGCACAATAGTATATGTGCACCCTCCATAAGCACATTAAATAAATATGTGTAATTAAAATTTTTAAACTGTGTACTTGGAAAAAGCAACGTGATTTCTATACTTTAGATGATATAAGACATTAAAATTACAGTTTTTCATCTCAAGACTCTACCAACTTGTTGACTATAGCTTACAATAGTATGTGAACAAATATTAAAAGAACTATTGTGTCCTAAAACAAGATTTTGTGGCTTATCTGTTTGAGATATAGCTGAGACATACAAAACAGGCCATGTAAGAGTTGAAAACAATTAAGCCTGGTGGTAGTGGAGCATATCTTTAATCCCAGCACACAGGAGGCAGAGTCAGGCGGATCTCCGTGAGTTTAAGGCCAGTCTGGTCTACAACGTGGGTTCCAAGACAGCCAGGGTTATCATGCAGAGAAACCCTTCTTAAAAAGACAAAAACAAACGAAAAAATCCAAAAACTTAAAGGTGCGTTTAGGAGCATTCATTCATTCATTCATTCATTCATTCATTCAAAGGTTTGAAAGTTCCATAGAAGAAAACAGAGAAGTCCCATAAGCCATGCAGACACCTAACAAGAGTTTTAGAGTCCTGCCACTTTGTATGTTAGCTCTTGACTTTAGCTTGTTGGTAACTTAAGCAGCAGAACTATGGGTCACTCTTCTTCTTTTGGTAGTAACCCAGGACCCAACACAGTCCCCAGCTCATAGAAAGTGTGGCATTCAGTGGAAAACACCCCAGTGCAGGAGCTGTTATAAACACACAGCACAGCAACCCCACCTGAGCTCCTGCCCAGGTCACCGCCCACCAACCTGAGAACTCCTAAAGTGCCAATAGCTCTAACTCTGGAGGTGTTGCTTGAGCCAATCAAAGCTTTAACTCCAAGGTGCCTCACTGGGGCGGGCGGGACTTAGTGGGTCAGAAATCACACTTCAGGTGAGCAACACCGGTGACATCAGTGTTCCCTCAAGTAGCTCCCTAAGCCCTGAGACTGAAACACCTGGGGCTGTCTTAGAGGATAACCTGGGTGTGTGGTCTTGGAAGTAGGCCTCAGATGGCCGAGATGTAAGGACCCCTCAAGTGACCGGGCGAGCCTCCTTTCCTCCAAGGGTTCTGAGTGGCTAGGCAGGGTTGTCCGGGTCCCTTAGGTTAGCAGCCTGCAAAAGTTGTGGCTACAGGAAACATTCGCCGGCCGCTGGGGTGCTCTGAGTGCCATAAAGAGTGCCACTTGGTCCAGGGCTTCAGGCAGGTGCGTGGCCTAGGGCACTTGCCGATCCCCGCCCCTGTCGCGCAGCTTCCCCGCCCCCTGCGGCACCCCTCACCTGGTCCCGGGTCTTCAGGTACCGCTGTAGCGCCTGCTGGGTGAGCTCGCGGACTTGCAGCTGGCCATCCTTGCAGGGCACCACGATGCCCGTCCTACCGAAGCACACTGTCACTTTCATCCTGCCCCTGGGCTCCCGCGCTGGGCCGGGCCGAACAGGTGTCTGACCCCCGGGCTCAGCCCCTCCGTCGGGGGATGTGGGGTGGACACGCCGCTGTCCCCGTGTGTGGCTCCGGGGCCGGGAGCCGCGGCTGCACCCCTGAAGCCCCACGGGAGGCCGAGGGCGGGAAGCGGACTCGGGGACCAGGCAGGTCAGCCGGGCGCAGGCGGAGGCTCCACGCGCCAAAGTGAAACTGCGGGCGCGGCCCGGCCCGGCCCTGCCTCTGGCGGTGGCCCTGGCGACCGTGGCAGGGCCGGCCCCAGGCCGCGGGCTGGAGTGGGCGGTGGCGGCAGCGCGCGGGGCCGGAGTTGGGAGGAAACTTTTGCGCCGGCTCTCAACTCCTCCGACGCGCGGGGCGCTCTGGGCTCCCGCGGCCCGCGGGCCAGTCTGGGCCCGGCTCTTAAAGGGACCGCGGCGCTCCCGGGCCACGGAGTACTCAGCTGCATTACACAAAACTGGGGACCCACCCGAGGTAACTGAACCTTGGGTAGCCTAGTGCCAGCACTCAGCTCTCTCCCTCCCTCACACATACTCAGAGCTCCGGGGAATGTAATGGGATCTGGGAGCTACCACAGGGGAATTGAAACCGGATCTCATAAAGCACACTTGGAATAGATAGGAAACAGCTGAGCAACTCCCTTAAAATAAGAGTTGGAACAAGGCTCATGGGAAGTCAGGGAGCAGGTGCCGTGCCTTCTCAAATACCCTGAGGGGTAGCTTGCAGGTATTGAGAGGTGGGTACCGCCTGAGGGCAGAGCTTTGAAATTACCCAAGGGAGCTGAGCTGAAAGCACCTTTTAAAGGACATTGTGCAGACGCCCAATGTTAAACCAAAGATCACACCCATAGTCCAAATATGATAGCGTGTAAAAAAGAACACTTTTCCTGTTGAAGGGTGACTTCCATTATGCATTTGACTAGGAAAAGAACTAATACCCTTGACTCTTGATTTCTCCAGTGCTTATCCTTGAACACTTGAACACACGGCATGGGGGGAGTGGCATGATCAACAGGTAACATCCGTATCCTTCTTTGTCACATAAACAGCTCTTTTGAACTGGAAGGTAAATGCTGCCCCCCCCCCTTTGCAGAAAGAATAGTGTTGTGCTTGGGCTCTTGGCTGTGAGTCTGTGGTATAGCTTTTCCCTCAGACTATAAGGCCTTGGATTTGATCCCCAGCACTGAAAGACTCCAAAACAAAAACAGATTAGCATTCGGAGACTGAGCAGGCCATGGGTTGCTATGGTGTCAAGAAAACATGTCATCCTCACTAAATCTCTAGTGTCTACTGCTAATTTTCATGGCGATTCAGTACACCCAATGAGATTCCCCCAGGGGATCCACCATTTTCTCCCAGAGTTGCTCAGATGTCAATTAAACTGAACTTGAATTGCTTCAGTGACAGGAGTCTTAAATTAGTGGATTTGGTATGTTTAATATACGTTTGGTTGTGTTCCATATAAGCACCTTACATAAGGTCAATGGCCACAAAGAGGGTCATGTAAACTAAGTCAACTTGAAAATATATGCATAGTAGACAGTCTAGTTTGGTCACAAATCCAGCAGACTGATTTAAGTAAACCAAAGACAGACCCATTGTTTGTCATAGAACCAAAGAAAAGATCCCTGCAGCACTCCACTGAGGCAAGGTTGGAGCTGGGATCACAAAGTGTCTTCAGGGACTCTCTCCAGCTTGTAACTATATGGCTAATAATAGTTTCTGTTCACAATGAAGTGGGCTCACAAACATGACTCTGTGGGTCTTCTACAGGAAGCAGTAGAATTAAGTAAATACAAATGCCAGTCATTGATGAGTGATCCTCACTTTAGCACTGAGAATTCACCATGTGTAGAGAGGTAAGAAGCAAAGATGATGAACCAAGCACCTCCTGCAATTCCTTTTCCTTCCGAGTGGCACCAAACTGGTCTTCCACAGAGACCAGGACCAGTGTTTGCTCCTCTGTACGTCTCTAAGTTCTCCTCTGGCACGCAGAGCCTCCAACTTCCTGGCTTTGAGAAGCAGGTCAGTCATGTAGAACACATAGGCTCCCCACCCCAGTTGTTGCACTCACAGGAAGATTAGAATCAGGTTTTATGAAATGCAGCAACATTCACGCCTCCAGTAGATAATAGAAGCCTGCAGCTAGGCTCTGATGTGAGCAATGCCCATACACCATCCAATGAACTTTCATGACCCCACATTAGGAATTGGGATTTAGTGTTTATATTTCATGTTTATTAAATAACCATGTTTAACTTGCCTTTCAGCCTCATCACAGCACACATAAAAACAATTCATCATATATTAAGAAGAGTAACACAGTCATCCATGTCCTGCAAACACCTAAATCAATATTTCATGGCCTGTGGGACTTCCTAGGCAGAAGACAATAAATAATTTGCCTTGACTGAGTAACGCTGGAGGAGTCTAGACCTGGGCTCCATTTTCTTGTTTTTGCCTGGTGAATGCATTAACATTGCCTGTGGTGTGATATTTTCCCATTTGTCTTGAGGCAGTCACACTGGCCACCATTATTAAACTGCTCAGCCTTGTGAAAGGTATGGCAGAAATGTCAGGTACCACGAGGTGTGCATTGACTAAACAATAGAAATCCGTCCCAATTTTTTATTCTATTGAGACAAAATGTGTTTTTTTTGGCTTTCAAGGAATCAGTTATAACAATCAGTTTTTATCATAGAAGCCTTGCTGAATTGGGAATGATCTTTACTTTTGAGATCCTGGAAGAATTGTTACAGACAATTAAAATAGGTACAGTGTCAACATAGATCCTCTGTCTTGACTGTGATGAGTAAATACTGTGGGGTGTAAAGGAGTGCAGCTTTTCCAAAAACATGTTAAGTGTTTGTATATCATCTCTTGAGAGATGTCTATCGATATCTATCATTTATTTTACTGGGGTTTGTGGTTGTTTGGTCATTGATGTCTTTGTTGTTTAAGTACCTCATAAATGTTGTATATTACCTCGGAGAGAGAATGTGTATAAAACTTTCTACCCCTTTGCAGGTAGTTTCTTCACTCTGATGGCTGCTATGCAAAAGCTATCTAATTATATGGAATCCCATGTGTGTAGTCCTGTTTGATACCTGTGCTTTTGAGGTCTAATTCAAGTAAATCCTTCCTGTTGCAATATCTTGAAGCATGACCTCTTTTTGTCTAATTGTTTTACAGCTCTTTAGCACAACGTATTTAACTATTTTAAACAGATTTTTTAATATGGATAAAAAGATAGGTCTAGTTATGTCTTTCTCCATATGAACATCTAGTTTTCCCCACACTGTTTATTTAGGATGCTGTCATTTTCCAGTGCCTGATCTTAGCACCTTTGCCAAAACTCAATTGACTCATTCATGACTGGGTTCACTTCTATGGTCTCCATTCTGTTCCTTTGGTCTTCACGTCTGTTTTTATGCCAGCAGCCTGTGGTTTTGATTATTCTAGGTAGTATGGATATTTTCACAGTTTTTATTCTTCTAACACAAAAACACGGGCTGCCATTCTGCTAGTGGGTGGTTATGTCCTCTTCATTGTCTTTAGTACAATAATCTTCCCATGAAGAACTTTTACCTTTCTGACTAAATGCATTCTACATAATCTTTTGCAGCTATTGTATATTGAATTACTCTCTTATCTGCTATTAGTTTATAAAAATGACACTGATTTTTTTCATGAAAGCTTTGTGTTCTAAGTCACTAAATTCATTTAGTATTTTTTTGATCATTTTCCGGTTGTGTCTTAGGTTTTCTACATGTAAGATCAGGTTTTCTATAAACAGTGACTATCTGACTGACTTCCCCAGTGATTAACACCATGACCAAAAGCTCTGGGAGGAAAGGGTTTCTCTCACCTTCCAACTTCTAGCCCACACTGAGAGAAGCCAGGACAGGAACCAGGAAGCAGGAACTAAAGCAGAGACTGTAGGGAAATGCTGCTTACCACCTTGTTCTCCATTGCTTGTCCAACTTTTTTATATAAGCCAGGACCACCTGCCCATGGGTAGCATCTCCCACAGTGGTCTAGGTGTCCCAGATGAATCACCAATCAAGAAAATGTTCCCACAAACCTGACAACGGGCAATCTGATAAAGGCATTTGTTTTCCAATTGAGGTTCTCTCTTTCCAGATGACATTCACTTGGGTTAAGTTAACAAAAACTAGTCAGCACATTTGCCCTTTTCCAACTTGAATGGCCTTTGATTCTTCCTCTTGCCTGACTGCTCTGAATAGGATTTCAAGAATTATGCCGGATGTAAATGGCTAAACTGAGCATCCTGGATGTCTTATGGTTTCTATTGCTGCAACAAAACACCATGACCAAAACGCAAATTAGGGAGGAAAGGGTTTGTTAGGCTTACACTTCAGCATTGCTGTTCCTCTCTGGAGGAAGTCAGGACAGGAACACAAACAGGGCAGGATCCTGGAGGCAGGAGCTGATGCAAAGGCCATGGAGGGGTGCTGCTTACTGGCTTGCTTCCCAGGGCTTGCTCAGCCTGCTTTCTTACAGAACCCAGGACCAGCAGGCCATTGGTCACTAAGTGAGAAAATGCCCTACAGCTAGATCTCATGGAGGCATTTCCTGAACCTAGGTTCCTTCCTCTGATGACTCTGGCTTGTGTCAAGTTGATGCACAAAACCAGCCAGTACACTTGTATTGTTCTACGTCTTAGAGAGAAATCTTTTAGGTTTTTCATATTTAACATGCTTTAGCTATAGACTTACTCTATAGCCCTTTATGGTGTTTAACTTTCTTTATTTTGTTCAGTTTTAGTCATGAAAAAGTATTGAATTTTATCAAATATGTTTTCTATGCCTACTGAAATAATCTTTTCCATTCTGTTGATGTGTTGTATCATATTTATTATTTCCATATACTGAGCCATCCTTTTATCACTGAAGTGAATCCTACCTGATGACAATCTTCTAAACGTGCTGCTGGTTTGGAGTTGCCAGTATTTTATTGATGATTCCTGCACCTGTATTTATCAGAAATGTTGGTTTGTAACTATTTTTTCTGGTTGGATTCTTGTTTACTTTATAAATAATATTAGTTTCACAGACCACATTTGGAATAATTTTGTCCTCATAAATTATTTGAAATAATTTGAGAAGAATTGGTATAAACAATATTTGATATAATTCATCACAGAAGCTCTTTGGTTTTTTGCTTCTCTTTTGTGGACTTTCTGTTGCTCATTCAATCTTACTTTTTACTTTTATTGACCTACTCAAATTTTGTTTCTGCATGGCCCAGTATCGGTATGTTGACAATACATCTACAGAATGCTTCTGAAGCTGTCCCGTAAGTACATATAGAAGTGCTCTACATTCCAG